TTTCACGGTGACAAGACAAAAAGAAAACAAGTTGCGGCCAAGCGTCAGCGAGATTTGAAAGGGTAGATGGGTTTGACGGTGTTGAGTTTGCGACAACACTCTAGCGAAGCAGATGGGTTTGACGGCGACGACGAAACACGCCGGAAGTGGCTGAAATTGTTAGGTTTGGTTTGATTTTACGGCAAAGTGTTCGAGTCAACATTTTTAGGGCTTTTAAAATGGGGGGTCTTTGTGATTTTTGTAAACTTTTTGTTTTGAAAATTTTAGTTTAATCCCCCATGCTTTAGAAACCCCCTTAAAAGCCCCTACTTATTCGAGCCAAGCTATGCTCACGAGCCTAATGAGCCGAGCTGATCCAGGCTCGAACTCGGCTCGTTCTCTCTCTCATAAATCAAGCGAGTCGGCTCGATTTCAGTCGAGTCGAGCCATTAATGAGCCGAACTCGAGCCAATCGGCTCGCAAGTGGCTCGGTTCATTAAACAGTCCTAAGAAAGTGGACTCATACAAAGGGTAAAGACCAATCTATCAACCCAGTAGTCCAATACAAAAGCAACCAAAATCTCCAAGAGATGGTCCTAAGAACATTCCAAGTATTCTTGTTCCTATTCCTGCTTCTATTGAACCTTCGAATAATGAGCCCATAAATCTTGATGTTCCTATAGCTATTAGAAAATGAGTCCAGTCATGTACTAGTCATCCTATTGCCAAATATTTATCTTACTAGAAACTTTCTAATAACCATAGAGCTTTTACCTCTAAGATATCTCACTTGTTTGTTTTAAGGAATATTCAGGAAGCTCTAGATGATCCAAATTGGAAGTTAGCAATTATGGAAGAAATGAATGCTCTTAGAAAGAGTGGCACTTGGGAGGTAGTTGACTTGCCAAGGGATAAAAAGATAGTAGGGTGCAAATAGGTCTTTACAATAAAGTGTAAAGCTGATGGAAGCATAGATAGGTACAAGGCAAGACTTGTGGCAAAAGGATTCACACAAACATACGAGATTGACTATCAGGAAACATTTGCTCCAGTAGCCAAAATAAACTCAATCCGGGTTTTATTATCCTTGGTAGTGAATTCCAACTGGGCCCTTACATCAGTTGGATGTAAAAAATGCTTTTCAAAATGGAGACTTGGAAGAGGAAGTTTTTATAAACCTACCACTTGGATTTGAGGGAAGATTTAGTAAAGATAAAGTTTGCAAATTGAAGAAGTCGTTATGTGAGCTCAAACAATCCCTTAGAGCATGGTTTGAATGCTTTAGGAGAGCTGTAAGAAGTCATGGTTACCGTCAAAGTCAAGTAGATCATACTATGTTTTACAAACATTCCAGAGAAGGTAAAATTGCTATCTTGATTGTATACTTAGATGATATAATCTTGACAGGTGATGACAATGTTGAGCTGGAACGACTTAAAAAGAAACTTGTTGATGATTTGAAATCAAGACTTGGGTACATTGAAATATTTCCTCGGGATGGAGTTCACTAGGTCTAAGGAAGGTATATTTGTTAATCAATGCAAATATGTACTTGACTTACTTGGTGAAACAGGTTTGCTTGGAAGCAAAGTAGCTGAAACACCAATTGAAACCAACATGAAACTACAACTTGCCAAAACTGAAGAAGCGGTGAATTGGGAGTAGTACCAAAGACTTATTGGAAGACTAATTTATTTGGCCCATACACGTCCAAATATAGCTTTTGCAGTAAGCATAGTTAGCCAATTTATGCATTCACCTGGTCCGAAACACTTTGATGCTATGTATAGAATCTTGAGATACTTGAAAGGGACTCCTGGAAAGGGTTTGTTGTTTAAGAAACGTGGACATCTACAAATTGAAGTCTACACTGATGCAAATAGGGCCAAGAGTATAACTAATAAAGGATCAACTTCCGGTTACTACACCTTTGTTGGAGGAAACCTAGTTACTTGGCGAAGCGAAAAACAAAATGTGGTGGCTAGGAGTAGTGTAGAAGCGGAATTCAGATCAATTGCTCATGAGATTTGTGAAAGGGGTGTGGATTAAAATACTTTTAAAAGAGTTGAAGATTCCTTAATCCTCACCCAAGAAGGTATATAACAACAATAAGACAGCAATCTCAATTGCTCATAATCTGGTTCTTCATGATAGAACAAAACATGTGGAAGTGGATAAACACTTTATCAAAGAAAAGATTGATAGTGGAATGATATGCATGCCATATGTTCCAACCACCAAACAAATTGATGATATACTTACAAAGGGACTTCAAAAGGAACAATTTGACTACTTGACTAACACGCTGACAATGGAAGATATTTTCAAGCTAACTTGAGGGGGAGTGTTGGAAAATAGAAGATTTGTTCCTGTAAATTAGGCTAATTATTTCCTATAATTAGGTAGTTGATGTAAATTAGGCTAATTATGTCCTATAATAAGGCTAATTAGTTGTTGTAAGTTAGGCTAATTAGTTTCTGTAATTAGGTAAATTAGTTCATGATTTTATGCCTTGTATTCTCCTACAAAAAGGAAACATGTACAACTTATTGAAAACAGAAAAAATAAATATATAGAATTCCTCCTAAAAGTACTCTTTTGTACTCTTTTTTACTCTGGTTTTATGAACCTAACATGAAATGTTGTCACATAACCAAAATGAAAAATAAACAATCCATATATTAAAAATATAAAGTAACAAAATTGTAAAAATCGGAAACAAAAATTATATGAGGAAAGACAAACATTATCAGATTAAATAGGCACTCTTTTATGTCTTATCTAGTAATTCTAATAAAGTATTAAATTGTAATTTAAAAAAATAATACCAATTGAAGTCATAACCAAAAACAAAATGCAATTTTTCCTCTTGGAACAACCATGTAGGGTAAAGGAATGATTGTTCCTTTGTATTAAAGTTACCCAGATGTACGTTCCTCTTAGCAAGACAACATTTCGTGTGACCGTGCATGCTTCTATCCAAAAAGGAGCCAAGTCGCTCACACTAGCACGACCAAAGTAGCACGCCCGTTCCATCCAAGTCAAAAGTCAAACTTCTCAAAACGCAAACTCTTTGCGCCTTCGACGAATCTTGGAAGACAAGCTTTGAAGATTCAAGTTTCAAAAGTGGAACAACCGTTCTCCGTGGTGGAACGACCGTTCACACTCAAAGATCGTTCTTGGCTGAACGTCATCATTCCAGGTAGCCCGTTCATGCTACTGGAATTTTTATGGATCTTAAGGAGACAATGGTCAGACCATTGCTCGTGGTGGAATGACCATTTGCGGTGATGGTACGATCGTTCCTCATGGTGGAACGACCATACTAGAAACCCTAAAGTTGTACAAATTGACACTTGGTATCAGGAACGACCATTCGCGATAATGGAACGACTGTTCCTTTGTGTCTGTAGGCTTTTCAGACATGCATTAAATGCAGTAATGGCTCTTTGCAAATAAGGGAGATGTTAAGCTTAAATAGAGCACTACAATGCTTAGAAAATTAGAGAGAATATCAGAGATTCAAGTCATATCGAAACATTCTCACATAGTCCCTTGAGCTCAAAATCCAAATCAAAGCATCACTCTATTGTTATTCATTTGTAAACCTTTGAGAGTATTGTTCTTATTGTGTGTTCAAGCATAAGTTAAGAGACAATATTTCTCACATGTTTTATCAAACACTTTTTGGGCGAAATCCTGTAAATCTAGAGACAATCCTATCAAACTATTATAAAGGTGAAATCATGTGGAAACTAGTATAAAGGCGAAATTCAATTCTAGTGGAACTTCAAGGAGGTTTCCTTGAAGAAGTGGATGTATGAGACTTGTGGATAGAGCTCCGCACCACTATAAATCTCTGAGCATTTCTTTTCTCCCAACTCATTTATTACTCATCTCATACTTACTTGAAGCATCATTCTCATACTCATATTTATTGCTCACATTCATATATACATCTCTCTCATTTATTGCTTATTAGCTTATTATTGATTACCCATATTATTTGAATCATTCTCATTCATTGCACTCTACATATTTATTGCACATATTTGTTGGTGTTGGGTGTCTATAACTTGCTCGGGTTGATGATAGTTTATTTTTGCAAATATTTATAAAGTATCCTATTCACCCCCCTCTACGACTATTTTGCCATATAGGGTTTTACAACTCACACGATCAAATCCAAAGGACTTTTGGGTAGATTTTACCGTCTTCAATATTATCCATTAAGAATTAACTTTTTATTCTTTATATTATTTATTTAGTGTTTTGTTATTTTATATATTTACTAATTGGATACATATAAAATATGATAAACGCATTTAATTCTTAATAACTTTTTAGGCAGTGAGGTGGAAGCCACTGAAGACGCAGAAAGTTAGAAAATACTAGTTCTGCTATAGAATTGATTTTCACTTACGAATTAAGAGTATTTTTGTTAGTTTTGACTAACATTTTAAAACATTAGGACTAAAATATGACAGAATGAAACCCCAAGGGTGATTAAGTACTTCTCTAAACGTGCACACCGGTTTTAAAACATTATTAAGTTTTAATATGAATAACTTACAATATGGTAACCATTTTGTCCCCACTAAGTGGCACTAACTATCCACAAAATCACATTAAACGGCAGAAAGACCTTTTATTTTGTCTAAATTAATATATATAAAAGAACAATACTAGTTTTACAAAAACACATATAAAAGGAATATCCAAAAACAATCCCTATCTTTTAATTTTTATGATTTTTCTCTCTCTCTTATTTTTTTATTTTTTTCTAAATAATGTCATTTTATAGCCTTCTTTTGTATGAGTTTTTGTAAAGATCAGCATTTCCCATCTAAAATTTTTTTGAATTTGTAAATGTACTGAATGCCTAAACTTGAAATACTGTACAAAAAAAAATAAAAAGGGAGATATGGAAGAAAGTCCAAACCGTAGAGTACCTGTAAATTTGGAACATTGATTGCAAATATAAAAAAATGTTATATTTCAAATCAAAATCAAATCATTTAATTTCTTTAACCAGACCAACAATCAGACCTCCACTGAGAGAGAGAGAGGGGGCAATTATCTTCACAACACACCCCTCTCCCTCTTCTTCTTCCTCTCCAATTCCTAACTTTTAACTGATTTTTTTATTCTTTTCAAAAAAAAAAAATTCATATTATTGATGATTCTCTTTGCATTCCGCTAATTTCCCCTTGTTTTTGATGCGACGATCGCATGCCCGTACACGGATCGATTCCAAACCCGACAAAATGGATCCAATCAAGCTCCATATTCGACCCACCGCTAGATCCACCAATCTCTTCTCCCGAACTCCGAAGAACACCAAATCAAACCTCCTTTTTACCCTCACCGTCGCTCTAACCTCTGCTTTTTTCACTATAATTCCCTGCTATTACTTATTCTTCTACACCCACAAAACCGCAAATCCCAATTCGGTCAAATACGGCGTCGTTATTGACGGAGGGAGTACGGGCACCAGAATCCATGTTTTCAGTTACAGAAGAGAGAGCAACGAGTTTGATTTTGAGTTAGGAAACATGAGGGTAAATCCGGGATTATCTTCGTATGCAGAGAATCCGGAGTTTGCGGGGGAGTCGTTGAAACAGTTGATCGATTTCGGGAAGGGGAAAGTGCCCGCCGGGCTTTGGGATGAAACCGAAATAAGGTTAATGGCGACGGCCGGGTTGCGTCTACTGGATTTGAAGGTTCAAGAAAAGATTTTGAGGGCCTGTAGGGAAGTGCTTAGGGCATCTGGCTTTATGTTCAGAGATGAATGGGCCACGGTCATTACAGGTATGGATGTAATCTGACTTATTATCTTTATGTAATGCAGGGAATTTGTGAGTTAGAAAAGATGAAAATTGGGGCTCTTTGTTAGTAATAATTCTGGCTTGCAGATGAAATTGAAACTTGATAATGTGTTTTTTGTATGTGTTTTAAATTGTGGAAACTGATTGTTGGATCTGACTGTGTTAGGTTCTGATGAGGGTGTTTATGCTTGGGTTGTTGCAAACTATGCACTTGGTAGTCTTGGAGGTGATCCTCTGAAAACAACTGGAATTATTGAACTTGGGGGTGCTTCTGCGCAGGTTTGTTTCTTCTTTCTATTCTATGCCATGGGATTGCAAATCATGAACCTTTCTAGGTTGTTAATTGGCAGTCATTGTTGTGGACTGCAATTGCCCTCCGCTGGAGGTTTGATTTATTTATAAAAAGTAGGATTTGACAAAATATTTAGAATATGGACCCGCAGAAAAATGTAATATCCTCTTGAACCTTCTGACGTCCAAAAACCTATTTATTGGTTTTGGGGAAGTGAGGTACTTAATTTAAACAATTAGAAAGATGAAATTTGTAGGTCAACCATGAATATACTTGATATTTTGGGATGATTTATTATCTTTGTTTCCTGTGTTTGTGCTTCTACAATGGGTGCATTTTGGAGTCACAGCACTTGAGTTGTTGTTTAAAATAGTTGCTATACTTTTGTTTCAGGTAACCTTTGTTTCAAATGAACCTATGCCTCCTGAGTTTTCACGTACTATTAAATTTGGGAATGCCACTTACAATCTCTACAGCCACAGTTTTCTTCATTTTGGCCAGGTAACCATCATCTGTATTGTTAATGTTCTTTTGGTGTAGTATTATTTTTGTTTGTTTTACTTTTCTTATCTGCTTTGTTGGCATGAAACTTAGCAAACTATGCTTCATTATTTAAGTTTCATTGATCAATGTATAGTGTTGGTGTGTTGGCATGAAGGCAGATTGAAACAATGCTCTAGTGCCTCACTTCTACAACTCCGAGTTTTCGCATATCATTCAGTTTTTGAAACAACATCTGCCAACTTTATTTTCTCCCAGAGCTCAGCTTGTAAATAGGATGATAATAAGTGTTGTCCTTGTCATGAATTATAATTGTGCCAATGTACTGAAAGTTTGAGGTACTATTAGATGAAGGCAAGAGGATTAATTCTAAAGCTGAATTCCACTAAATTTAACAGATTTGTGAGTTTTGCTGCTTAAATAATGTTGTTGGACAAGGGAGTTGTGAAATTCCATTTAGGTTACTTGTTAGCACTTTTATAGCAGTTGTGAACAAATGTATTGATCTCTGTCGGCTAGTATGAAAACTAGAAGAATGGCTTTCTTCTCTTAAGTTTGCCTTTGACAATCTATAATTTGTGTCTTAATTGTCTTTATAAACTTCACAATTTTGAGTTAATATTTGTTATTATAGTTTTTTATCTTTTATTTTAAAATTTTGAAGCAAGCCATTCTAAATTTCAGTTTGTAACTTGTTTGCTTTGTAGAATGTTGCATTTGAATCATTGAAGGAATTAATCACCTCAGGTGGCTTTAACTCGGGTATGTATACTTTGGTTCCTGCATAGCATCTGTATGCATTGAATTTATTCAAATTCACTTTAAAAAATTTTTACTGTCATGGAGCAATCCATGCTGAGGACTTAATCATCTTTCGTAGTGCTACAATGTTCTCCTGATATTAAATATTTTATGACTAGAAGAAATAGTGCCACTGCTTATGTCATATGCTCTATTGAGACTTTTGAGAGTCAGATCAGCTTCCCTCAGTGATGCTAATTGGGATAATATAAGATATGAAGATGGTGCACTACTGCTTTCTCAGTTTTGCTACCCTTGACACTAGAAGTTGGCTTTCTTAAAATGTCGATGAGGGTGGAGCACCTTATTTGGCGGTCATGTTTGGCACAGGTTGTGCTTGATATCTTATTATTGCCATAAAATAAAATGTCTTCTTTTATAGTATTTGTTAGATTTAAAGACTATTGTTGCAGCCTTACCTAATAACTTAAGTTTTTGGGTCAAGTGGTTGCTTAATATGGAAGCAAAGCCAAGATTTTTGGGTCAAATGTTACTTAGCATGTTCCTATTTATGATCGAGATAGTTCGGAGAATTTTTGCTTAGAATCTCTCATAGAAATGTGACATTCTTTCATTGGTTTTTTAATAATTTCCACTATTGCAGCTGTAGGGTCACTGCAGAAGAGAGTACATATAGATCCTTGCTCTCCTAAAGGATACTCCCATGATATGGAATCATGGAAGCTCTCAGCAGATTCTTCGGATGAAAATAATGAATATTTGTCCACACTTCAAGCTGGGGGTAACTTTTCAGAATGTAGATCTGCTGCATTAATGCTGTTACAAAAAGGAAAAGGTTAAAAAATTTTCTCAGGAAACCACATCCAAGAGTTTCTTTTGACTTCTTTTTAGCAGCAATAATTGCATTTATGCTACCGTTTGTGTGCAGACAAATGCTCCTATAAAAGCTGCTATTTGGGATCAACTTTCATGCCTAAGCTTCAGGGAACATTTTTGGCCACGGAAAATTTCTTCCATACGTCAAAGGTACCTTTCTTTTTTATAGTTGAACATGTTCTGGCTTCATCAGAGTTTCGTTTTTAATACATGATCCACTTGGAAGAAAGCATTACTCTTCTCTATGATCAGATGCAGCATGCTCATGCAACTTTTGCATGTTTTTTTTTAAAGCCTTTATGCCTACACTTTGCCATTGATTAGTTCTTCAGGTTGCGTGAAAGGGCATTTCTTTCTGATTTGCTGATAGCTGGAGAACAATTTTGTGGAGAGGATTGGTCAAAGTTGAAGAACAAGTATCCATCACTTGATGAGGATCTGATGCGCTATTGCTTCTCATCTGCATATATTGTTGCTTTACTGCATGACAGTCTTGGAATTGCATTGGATGATGAAAGGTATGTTCTTTAGGTTACCCGTTACCTGTTAACATAGTATCATCGTTCAATGTAAGCACCTTTTTTTTATTGTCATCCTATCTACTTAAATAAATCAAACTTTTACATATCTACAAGAGAATTTTAGTTCTTACTAGTTTCATATATTTGATAATCAATTACTTGAATTTTAATTTCTTAAGAGTCATCTCTCTCTTTATATCTAAATTGTGGGCACTTGAAATTGGTGAAATGTTATTGACTGGAATTACTATTGACAGGATTGGGTATGGAAATCATGTGGGAAATATCCCACTTGATTGGGCGCTGGGAGCTTTCATCCTGCAGAGCACATCAGATTTGGATGTACATAACTCTGGCTGGATTGGCACCATTATTAGTGATGACTCACCTACACTGCTCTCCCTGATTGCCATTTCTATACTATTAATGTTTATAGCATGGTCTGTATCAAAATGGAGGAAACCCCAATTAAAGACAATTTATGATCTAGAAAAAGGGAGGTATATAGTTAGTCGTGTTAGTAGGTGATAACATTTATCCGAAGTGATGAACGAATTCCCTCGGTCTTGCAGATGAGGAAGTGATAAGTCAAAGGTGGGAGCCATGTAATTATAGTACTTATAAAATTTGTATGATTCCTTAATTTGCTGGCGAAAGTCACCCACTTAATGCTGCGATTGTGCTGGAAATATGACTGTATGGAGTGGGGTTTTCAGCACAGAATGATGTAGTGTAACATTAATGTGGGGAAATAGGTTAGAAGATTGTAATCCCATTTTGTATTTAGCGGGAATACAGATGTCGGTTTATTGACCACATGCTTCCGCATTAAGAAGCAAACCTGTGGGAAAGTATATTACAGTTTGGGAGAGAATCCAGATGTTTGTATGACTGACTTAATGATATTGGAGGTGTGTTTTCAGTTTGCAATTTTTGTTTTCTTTTTTTTTTTTTTTTTTTTGGTATAATGAAGTGTTGGTGTCTTCATGCAAGCCTTTCTTATTGTTGGAATGGTGAAATAACTAATTCAATGGAGGAAGCAAGGGTGTGCAGATCCATCTGTTTTTTGGGTGGATGGATTTACGGTTACAGTATGAGCCAAAAGCAAACGCGTTAATATGTCGTCAAGGTAACGTTTTTATGGAGATATACGACTCAAATTGACCATTTGAAATCTAAAGTTGATAGAAATCTAAAGCAACTTTAAGATTATGACTTCCCAAACACATTTGAAATAATTTTCAAAGTTAGAAAAAAGATGATTAAACTTAAAGTAACAGCAATCCCAAACTAACGTTTGGTTATAGAATTTTCTAGTTTGGAGTTAACATTATGGTGAAAGAGATGGATTGGTAATGGTTGATGTATGAATAAGTAATTAATTATTCTATAAATCTAATTGGTCAAATTGAATTGCCTTCATCTTCACCTTGTTACAAAGTCAAATGCCAAATTTATTTATTACCCAAATCAATTAATTATGCCAACTGCAACCCAGTCGTCGTTTTACGCGGCAAGGCAACTACATGAAATGACCACACCAACCTTAAAACCCCATGTAATCATGTATTGTTAAACAAGAGGCGACAACTCCAAGTCATTTTCTTAGAAACCGCGTACAATCACCGATTTTACACTCTTTTCTCTCCTATATTTCCGCTCTCGACACCCAATTCTACCATATTAACCCACAACTCTTTTGCAATGTAAGATTTTCTTTCTTGTTTTCTTTTTTTTCCCTCTTTCTGTCTCTCTCTCTATCTCTCTCTTCGGTTTTCTTTTTTGTTTCTCTGAAAACCCTCCGATCCGCTGCTCCGAGCAGTGGGATCGGTGTTTTATTTCTTTCTTTCTCCAATTCCCACCTCCCTTTACTAGTTTTAACGACGTTAACCTCGTGGATTTGGATTGTTTTTTTGTTTTCAGTTTAGGTGGTGGATTTCTTTTTTCTTGTTGACGAGGAATTTATAACGGAAAGAACAGAAAAGAAAGAATGAGTGATCAGGTGGTTTTGTATGTGGACCAGCTGATAAGGACGGAGTCCGTACAAGGGGAGGGTGGTGCTGATGTTAATAAGGCCTGTGGTACTGGGAGTGGTGTTGGGGAAAATGAAGCGGGGCCGTCGTGCTCGGCGGTTGATGATGAAGCGGGAGAGGAGGAGCCGTTGATTCAAGTGGGTGAGTGTCGCATTTGCCAGGAGGAGGATTCTGTTACCAATTTGGAGACACCTTGTGCTTGTAGTGGAAGTCTCAAGGTATATTTACACATTATTCATCCTACAATTATACCCTTTTTTCTTATTTTTAGTTAGGTTGGTATTGGTTTTATTAGGTGTAGAGTTGGATTGTGCAAATGGATGATTTTTAATCCTTTTTTGTTCACTTTTTGGCCCAAAGTTTTGAATGGTTAGGCTTTTAATTTGTTTTGTTTTTAAATGGAACCGTAAAATTTTGTTGTTTTAGCTGATGACCATTGTCAATTTTGTAAATCCCAAGAATAATCCTAAAACTCTATGGCATGCTTTGACAATTATGTAAATAAATCGTAATATGATGATCAATTGCTTTCATGTTAATTGCTAATTCTTTGTTGTTTCAGTCTTGTTAAGTTCTTAACTTTTCCGTAGAAACAACACTGTTCCTATATCATCTACCAGTCTGATTTGACAATAAGCTTATATGTCAAGGGGTTGAATCGGATTAGCTTCAAATCTTGTTTACATAGGGGAAAAGTAAACCTTTATATAATTGTAAAAAACTACAATTGATAGATTATGATTAGGTTTACTTGTGAATGTGATTTATTTGAAAAAAAAAAAAAAAACTGTTATATAGAAGATAACATGTTGATTTCATGATTTCTAAGTGGATCTTTTGGAAATTTCTTGTTCTTCTAAAGTTTGAGCAGTATTATTCCTTTTGTTTTATGTGCTTCAGATGTATATTAATAAGTTCTATGGTTTGTCCAGTATGCTCATAGAAAGTGTGTTCAGCATTGGTGCAACGAGAAAGGAGATATAACTTGCGAGATATGTCATCAGGTATGCTCATGGAAGTCAATTTATTTATTCTGGTTCTGTAAGCAATATCACATATATGTATCCAACATGGGGTTTTTATTAGACTCAGAGTTTTTGGTGTCTCTTTTTCAAAGTCATATGCACAGCCGGTGTGCATGGCATAAAGAATGTGATAGTAACAACATACAAATATTTGATATATTTGATAACATAAGGATGTCATGCAATGTGGCATCAAGTGACTTTAGCTTCTTCTCTATGTACAGGGATTCTTTGGAATAGATTATTCATTGTTAAAATTTTGAAGTTACTTGAAACGATTTTGACTTTTGATTTTGGCCGTCTTTATGTGATTATAGCAATACCAACCAAATTATACTGCTCCACCTTCTCCACCCCGATTGGAAGATACTGCTATTGATATTGGGTAATGCAAGATTTCTTAATCTTTTTTTACTTTTCTTTTTTCAGTTGGTATTTCTTTGCTGAAAATTGTTCCAAGTATATTCTTCTTTGACTTATAAATTTTGATGTACCTTGAGATATTGATTTGGATGTCCATTGCAGTTTTTAATCTGGATAATTTACTTGGAATTGACACAATCATAGCTTTTTAAATCTATTTTGGTTCATTGGATCTTGTTTTCAGTGGAGGCTGGACCCTATCTGGTACTCCTCTGGACTTGCGAGATCCTCGCCTCTTGGCCATTGCGGAGGCAGAGCGACACTTTTTGGAAGCTGAGTATGATGAGTATGATGCTTCAAATGCTAGCGGAGCTGCATTTTGCCGTTCAGCTGCTTTAATTGTAAGCTGTTAAAGACTTAACTCATCAACATCCAAGCCCTTGATATGCAGAAATTCAAAATCATTTGTTAATGTATTGCAAAATGCACCTTTGTTAGGCCCTGATTTCATGTAATTGAGCTATAGATCTTTGGTTATAGTAATTAAAAGTAAGATTTGCATGGTTACTCTAATATAGCCACTCAGACACCACCTGGGCTATGTTTGGTTACTACATATATTGTTACTATTAATTGCAGCTGTTTTTCTTTTAACATAGTAATTCAATTTCCACTTCCCATAAATGGGATTAAAATTTGACGTGAGCTTAATCACCCTTTTTTAACAGTTAATGGCCCTTTTACTCTTGCGGCATGCACTGACCATCCCAGATGCTGATGGAGAAGATGACATGTCTACCTTTTTCTCTGTAAGAAAAACTTCAACTTTCATTTGCTCTATGGCATCACCCATCACAATAAATTGATAAGTTTGTCTGATGGTTGAATCTTTCTAATCAACTTCTTGATGCTCTGCAGCTTTTCTTGCTTCGGGCCGCTGGATTTCTTTTGCCCTGCTACATCATGGCTTGGGCCATCAATATCTTGCAGCGTCGAAGGCAAAGACAGGTTAGTATTTCGCAGTTCTTGCCTCTATTTTATTAGTTTCCTTTCCAATCCTGGTTTTCCCAGTGAAATTGATTTTGCTTCTGTAATGAACATTGTTAAATACACTCATCCGCATTAGGTGTATCTTGAGAACTCTAATCTATTCCTTCAAAATGGGTAAAAAATGAAATTTGGAACCAAGTGCATGGTTTGTGTTTGAGAGATTAAGTTTTGTTGAAGCTTGTATATTATTTGGTGAAGCAGGAGGCTGCTGCATTGGCCGCAACACAAGTAGCATTTGTACTACAATCTGGACAACGGAGGGGTCTGCAGTTTGCCATAGCCTCAGGATCACCTTCAGTGAGTCAGCCGCAGCCTCAGGAAGCTGTATGATATGATGGACATAAATTGATGTAATATTTGTTGTGTCATCTGAATCATAATCATACGGGGTGAGTGACCAACCACAGCCACAACAGAAGCAGGTTCTCCTAACAAGAGGAGTTTAAAAAAGGCTAATTGTGTATTAATTACAATATTTTGTTTTAACTTTATATGAATCTCACATTTCTTAGAATGAGCGTTTCTGTAAACTGGGTCAATTTCTTAATTCAGTTGCCTTGTTGAACCTGTACAAATCTTTCGCTTTCTCAAGTATATAAATCTCAGTAGCTATTGAAGTGTTTCAAATTACAGTCCATTCATCTTCACCAACTAAAACTGAAATATTATGATATGGTTTATTTTTTACAATGTTAGTTAAATATATACCCTAAAATTCATACAAACTGTGCGAAATCTAAATAACTCTTCGGAACGCCTAGGATTTGGTTAGCGAGTTTCATTTTATTTATTTTATCATTGTTATTATTAAGGCTTTCGAAAGTAAACCCCCCTATGTTTCATGATTTGGAGAAAGACCTACAAGTTATTGGAAATAGGACCCTAATCCTAACCCCATTACTTTTATCCGTTAACTTCAAATAATGTCAATATAATATAGGTATTTTCGATTTTGTTTGGTCTCCTATTCAAACATTATCTTATTCTATTATCCCGTCCTGAAAAATAAAAAATGTATTGATTTTAATGTTCTTTAAAATTCAATCTTATTCTATTCAACTCAAAACATTTAACAATTACCTTTCTCAATAAAAGTTTTAAAATTAACATAAACACTCCTACCCACCCAATAATTATCGACAACTAGCCATCACTGTCAGACAATGACCGAAAGTCATCGGAATGACATATGACCGGCTGAATCTGGCCGATCGTGCGTCTATCTATCCGTTTCCAACCAGATTCACGACCAAAGATCTAGCCTTCGTTGACTGTCAAACAACGGTCATCGTTTGACTGTTGTCAACGGTCAGATCTTTGACCATAGATATAATCGAAAAAGGCTAGATCAGCTCACAACTGGCTAGATCTAGTCGATCGTGCACCATTCTGCCAGTAATTATTGGATAGGTGAGAGTTTTTTTGTTAATTTATAAACTTTTATTATAGGGGGTGTTTAGCTAAATTAACAAATATAGGAGATTAAAAGTAATCTAACTATTTTTCAGAAAATATTTTTAAAAAATGTACCAAACACATTCTCCTAAAACTATTTTATTTGATTAAATCCTATTCATAATTGAATACTATTCTAAAAAACTAAACAAACGGATCAATTTTAATAAGAGTAGTTTGGGCTTTTTTAAAAAATTTATATATAAAAAGAAAAACCGTTATTATTATTAGAGACATTGATAAAGAATATTACAATATATGTTTTCCTTTATTAACTAGATTTTTTTTTTAATTAGAAAAAAATTGGACAAAACAAATTTAGGAAAAATCCTAATAAAAAATGTTATAAGTAGGCTTTTTATTTCAGCATACCGAACAAGAAGTTAAAAAAAGAGAGTAGAAGAGTATCAAGTGTGTATGGGTTAGAAATGATGTTTCAAGAGTATGAATTGAATATATGAACCTTAAGGATTCATACTTTATTTTTAATTCTTTGTATGAACAAATTGTAACTTGTGTCCCCCGTAATTTAGTCTTAACAGTTTGTACTGTACCTTAATTAATAATATCTCTTAATTATATTGAATAACAATATTATAGTTTTTATTTGCAATTAAATTTACACACTGATGCTTTAAATTATCCTTTTAAATAAAATGAAAATATATTTATTTTCATTAAAACAACTGTTTGAAAATTAAAAGATAACGAGAAACTTGTAAAATGTTCATTCGTTTTTCTTTTTGGCTGGAGCAGTTGGTGGGTGATGAAGATGGTGACATTATGGTTAAAATTAATAGACAAAGAGCAAAGCATATATTCTCACATACTTATCTATCTATAAGAATAATCTTAAACTAGAATAAGGGAAGCATCTTCTTTTCTTAACATATAGTTTTGATTACATTCTGATTGTAGCTCTCACTTTTGTCTTTCCTTTGGAACATAAAATCCACACTCTCAATATTATCCGGGACCTTCTTCCAATCAAATCCTGTTCAAACCCTATCATTTGACCCAACAATCAAAAGTTCAAAACAGCTATTGCTTCCTTTTCTTGAATGTACTTTTTAAGTAATAGAATGATCAAATATGCTTCCTTTATTTATTTATCTATTTCTTCAGAAAACGACTAAAATAACACCCCATAAATATCATTTACTTGGTTAAAGTAGTACAAGTAGAGAACTGAAAGAGCATTTGGTAGTAGATCAATTGATCAATTTTTTTAGAAATAAAGGTGAAATGTGTAGAATTTAAAAGGAAAAATATGAAGATGAAAGATGGGTACATGATCTGTAAAATTTACAGACTGGGTTTGCTTTATCTTTAACTTGCTTTGTCACTCCTCTTTTGTAAATACAACTACATTATTTTATGAAGGTTTAGGAAGGTACCTATGGATTTAGTGATTGTAGTGAGGGGCTTAACCAAATGGAGCCTTTAGTTTCAAATCAAAGTACTGAAAAGTCACAACTTTAAGACCAACCTCGAAACTCTACAGAGCCATTTGTTTAAATTTTCACAGATAATGTTTCCAAGTGGAAGTGGGGGAAGTGTTAATGGCCCAATTAAGATTCTAATGATATAAACTTTAACAGGTGACCATCTAATCAAAGTACAGTCAATATTAACCTTAGCATAGTACTTACCGTACCACAATTTTAGCAGCTGGGCCCATCTGCCATCTCTCTATCACCTTCAAACATGGACTACTCCACCAAGTCTACAATACCCAGATAATCATCTATTATTATTCATGGATGAATCAGTTTGCATAATCCTCCCAAATGACTGAATCATCTTATTTCTGTGTATGTTTCAGTTTTTCAGGTGTATGTATGCGCACAACCAAGCCAACAAATATTATGTCAACTAATCAATTTTTACCATGGTGCTCTTAAACATGAATACTACAGTTGATATGGCAGACAGAAGAATTCATTCATATTGCATGAAACCTTAACGAGAGAAACTTGATGGAAGGCAAAAATTCAAGTTACTCTCAATGGAATACAAAACCAAGAGCATTGGCATATTAAAATATAAAAGCTAAGGTTGCACTGCAAGAATTAAGACCACTGACACTCAACCGAAATCATAAGGCACCATGCATCTAGATCAAATCCCATCATCCAGTTTTTAAAAAAGTGCGAGAATTTATGCTTTAGAATGTTCCTAATTGCATGTGATGTTACTATATTATAATAACAGTAAAGTAAAGAGAGGAAAATAAAGGAAAAGATGAACTACATCAATAAATGAGAAAAAAAATTACATAATAAGGTACTATGAGAGACAGAGAAAGAGACGTGGGCTTTCTCTGAATCATTGAATGAGGATTAAGAGCATGGCAGACCAAGGATGAGCAAAGAAAAGCATAAAGAAACACATTTAGCACAAGAAACCAAGTACTGTTTGTTATTTTTGTTGCATAGGGAAGGGAGCTTAGAATGCTAAAGTGAAGAGAAGATCTTAGAATGGTATAAAGCAAGTGTTTGTTTCTTTTGGAGGCTGTTCTATTCTATATTCTTTTCCCTCCCCATTTGATTCCTTATATGACTTGCTTGCCACTGTAGCGACGTAGTAGTTTTCAAGTGGTCCATGTCTTTTGACTGCCTCGTCACTCCCATTAAAAAGAAACAAAAACTTCCTTTTCTTAATAACAAAGAAACTATAAGTTACCAGAATACCCAGCCTAAAAAATTTCGAATTACCATGTGAGCAAATTTGTATATGCAAACACCAAACCTGTAAACTTGAAGTACATTAAAATAATAACATGACCATTAGCTAATTAAGAATGTCTGAGACTCTAGTGTATATCCAGGTAAGCATGGTCGGGTGATGTGGCAAGATGGCAATGAATCCAAGAGACTGAGTTGGTCCTGTTTTAGTAGACAAAAGCAGGGCAAATGATAGAGATGTAGGGAAACAAATGAAAAAAGATACTTGGCTTCTCAAGGGTATAGTTCCAACTTCCAACCCCTTTTTTTTTTTTTTTTTTTTGCCTTGTCAGATTCTTCATAACAGCCTTAATTTGCTTAGAATGCAGGCTTATGATTTGAGTGAATCTAAATATCTCTGGGTGTTCTGGGGCCCTCCCTGCTTTATGCTTTAAAAACTCTTCAAATCCAATAAGGGGATAAATAACAGGCTTATGTCTACAGGGACATAACATAAGAACAACAGGATTACAATCTCCAACCTGCTTATTCTCTCATTATTCTATAAACAGAAGGAGATACTTCTGCTCTTCTTGTTTGTTTGAGTTTAGAGAGAATAATGGTTTTTTGTGCTCAAAGAGTGCTCATTCTTCTGCTCTGTATGGGGTTATTAACAGTTCAACCAGACCAAGTTTATGGCTTACGAAGAATAGACCTTCTCAGACAGAACCAACATAGTCAAGGTATGGTGCCACAGAATCAACGTATCCTCAAGGCCACCACCATGGAGGAAATGAACACACAGAAGAATTCAACACAAATAAACAGCACCTTTGATCCAAATCAATCAAGCAAAAGAAGAGTACGAAGAGGATCAGATCCTATCCACAACAGGTCATGACAAATTCAAATTGTCTGCTCAGCCAAAGAGAGGAGCAGCAAATTAACAATTAAAGGAAGACACAGTTTCTCGCAATGCAGAGAAAACTAGAAGGCAGTTAGTTGCATCTGTTTTATGAAAGAACATTTACAAGGGTGGGTTGATTGGTTTCTCTATATCTTGTTTACAAGTTTTTTAATATAAAGAAATCTGTATAGCGTCAGAGTATGATCGATGAAGACAATTCAGTAAGCCAGTGTCATATCTGTAATGTGAGCTAAACTTATAATCTATGACTGAGGGACAGAAAAGGATAGATGATGGTGCAGGCTTTCATGAGAAACATCTATAGTATTTTCTTATATATATATCTTCAATTTTTCTTTGAAAAATGTAACATCTATTTGCATTAGCACTAAAGCTTCCACAGATGATAGTAAAATTCTTTTGTATTGCCCCATCTCTAACAAGTGTTTTTTTATTTATTTTACAGCATTTGTTTCAAAGTTCAAAGAATGATCTCATTCTTTCCCCCTCAACATTCAAAACCACAATAGCATACACTTAATCATAAATAGTGTACATTTACATGTTCACTCAATATAAACATGCATAAAGAAGCCCAACAA